GAGAAAGAAAGATCATCGTGACCTATAGCAGTTGCGTACATGAAGGTGAATATCGTTCATATATTAGCCAACATCATCGCTAGTGTTGAAATATGTTATTTCCATTGTTTTTGGTTATTAGTGCTTCGAAAAAGTTCTGCAGAAAAGTTTTAACTTCAAAACTAGAGAAATTAAAGTGAAATTAAAAAGAGTTTTTCACAAGATCTCCTAAACACCTTGATCACTTAGTGTTGGAATATCATCAAACTCCTATGTTTATTTAGTTTTTAATTCTCTATCTAGTCACGTTTGAGCCTAGTCACCGTCTCTTAGGTGAGCTGTGCTACAATCATGTTAAAAAACGTTGAACGGTTTAAATTTTTAAATTAAATCCAAAAAATTGAAATTTTGAGTTAGAGCCTTGCTTTTTTTCAAAATATTCACCTTTCGACGCTGAATCCGAATATGTTATTTAAAATGTTCCATGTCCTAACGGTGATTTTTAAAACACTTTTAATTCCAGTAATGCAGTCCAAAAACCACGGTTTTCCGGAAGTCCTACTTCTAAAGATTTTGGAGAAAATTTTCTAAAGGCAAAAAGAAAGGGGGCCTCGAGAAACCCTTAAAAACCATATATAGGTCCATAGCAACGCTTCTTAGTGAAATATTCTAGATCAAATTCCTTGTGCAGGACGCCTGTGGACATGAAGAAAAAGTGTTATCTGAAGTTCGCTATCATTATACTGTTCTATTAATAAAAACCTGTGCTTTCAAATAATTCACTCATACTATTATTCGTTTTAGAACTTCTACCTTTTTTTCTTTCATGGTGGCAATTTGTCTCTTACTGATGTGTACACTACATTTTATTGTTGTTGTAGTGATGAGTGAGCACCCATTATCAGCGTTTGGTTTGAATCCATCACTGGAATATTTTGTGTAGGATTAAGTGATCCAAATTGGGAATTTGTATCGTTTTGTACAATATTTGATGTGTGGTTGTTTAGTTGATCTGTGAACATTTGAAAATTATTGTTTGCGTTGCCCGTAGTGATGGTGGTCGCAGATGCAGACTGTTCAAGTTGTTCAGATTGACGGCGTCGTTCAATTTCCTCTCGTATCATGTTTCGCTGAACACTATGAGGTAATGCTGGATTTAAACTGAGAGCATATGGTTGAATCACTTTTGGTATATCATTAAAGTCAATCTGACATTTAATATACATAATATCATCTTTAATATAATTGTTATTATCTTGCAAAATCATTTGCAATGGGATAAATTTTGGTATACCGCTAGCAATGTTCATTTCACTACAAGGACGGTGAAAACTATTCGATTTTATATCCGGTCGAAATGAGTCTATAATGTGTCTTTGTTGTCCTGACTGATCAAATAAACAAAATGTTACCTTAAAATTAAATGGCCATTTAAGAATAGCATCATATCTACCACGCATTAAGAGAAAAAAGAGAGACATATTTGTCCGTCTAGCATTCCATCACCCTGTAAATAAAGTCGCAGACGCATTTTGTAGCCGGTTGGTGACGAATAGAAGGGCGTCGAATATATACTTGTTTGTCTCTCAGACTGAGCATCAGCCATTTTCTCTGAAACATTATCTATTTTCCACGTGAAAAAACCATCGAAGCATACTGATTTTAAATCTTCAATTTTTTGTTTTAGACTTGATGTTTCTTGTTGTAATACCTCGTAGTTTGAAGAGATACCGGCAACATACAAGTCTTTCTCAACAACAGATTGTTTAATTTGATTTATTTCCGTTTGACAAAATTGTGACTGATTTTCACGATATAATGATTCTCTACTCAAACGAATTGTTTCTTCATTTAACGTTTCTATGTTGTTCGTTCGTATAGACAACATCTCATAAAATTGCTGCAACTGAGAATAAAAATCGTTGATAGCTGAAGCTGTTAATAAAGAAGAACCAGCAGTTGACAATAATGAAACTGAATCGCTTAGTTTCGATGTCTCATCTGTTGTCAGCTTGTTCTCATGCAGTCGTAACTGAATCAACTTCATCAAATTTTGAATAGATTCATATAAACATATCTGATGCAGTATGGTTCTATAATGCGAATCCATTTCTGATCTTGGAATCTAGAATGATAAACTTATTATACGAGAATGATTGTCAATTGTATCTAACAGACCGTTTATACATATAAGCGAGCGAAACATCTCCTCACGTTCTAGTGTTTTAGAATATTACTAGATATATTACATACTCAAACAAATAATATCATTTAAACTTACTTTTTCTTTTGAACATCCATTCGATGCCAATGGACATAACTCAGTCACTTTTGTACATAAATGTTTTTGATGTTCAGCAAGCAAATATTTAGATGGACAGATCTCGTTACAATACTCGCATTCTCGATTTTCCTCAACATGTGTCTCACTATGAGCCTTAAAAAGTTGAAATAACGTATTCGGCAAGTATGCAATGAATAGTTCACTGTTTCCTTACTTTGTATTCTTTCAATGTACCCGTCCATTTGCAGCCATTGATCTTTTCTATACAAACAATTGATAAATTCAAGATTTGTCTTCCAAATCCTCTGTCAAACAGAATCTAAACAACAAGATAAAATAATAATCATAATATAGACTATTCTTAAATTTTCATACTTCATTGGTTGGTGTAATTTCAAAACAGATTGGACAGGTCACTCTAAATAGAAAAGGTTGACAAAATATATAAAATAAATTATTTGCAACCCAGAGGTAAAAAAACTGACAAAAAAATGCGTTAAACGCTTCAAAATCAACGCTTTTTTTTGGTCGTTTAAACGCGTTTATTCAGAATTTCCAGGGCTGGGCACCTTCGCCGAAGTTCAACTCCAACTCGATTTTTAAATTTGTAATCCAACTTCAACTCCGTTTCAGTTTTGGTTGTTATTTTTTTCCTTTATATACTTGGTTGCAAATAGCAGCCAAAACAATAATTTTCTCATTCAAAATTTGTTTCTTGATTTGAACGAGAACAGAAATTTTTGGTTATGGACTCACTCAGTTTGCTCTGGGCTACAAGTTTGACATAATCGATGCCCACATTCAGTTAATTGTATGGGATCTTTTAGAATCAGGTTGCATATTTTACAAATAAACTTTTTTTCTAGTTTATCTTTGTTGTCAGCATCGTAACCAGCCTTTTTCTGCTGACATTTCTGTTCAACGGATTGTATATTATTGGCATGATAACTGTTCTCACACTTTGTATTGTACTGAAAAAGACGGAAAAAATCGTAGTTTGAACTTGATGATTGTTTACAACATAAGATAGCAAAACGATCTTCTCTTATACGTAGACCTTTTATGCTCCATTAGCTAAAAAGCATTCACTATGCAAACTGAGCTGTTATCTTATTTCAAAAGAATGTACACTTGTCATCGAAAATCTAGAATAGGATTACTTGTGCTCCGGAATTTTTGTTTGCATTGATTTGTTCAAGTATACGTTTGCCCTGTAGAGATTGCAAGAGTACCTTATTGGATGATGGATTGGAATCTAGAATGAAGAAAGTGTAATAACATTTTCTTTTTAGATAAGATTGGAAGATATCACCTCTGTTTTGAATATCATTATTCAATATAGCTGCTATATCAGCTAAAGATATTTGTTCATTTTTCTTAATTAGATTTTGTTTCAAGTGACCAACATACTTTTGAAATTCTATACCACCGTCGCCGAATTCGTTGATTTTAGTTGCTTGGTCAGTGTACAAATATGCTGATAAAGTTTCTTCATATATAGGCTTACGAATTTTTGAAGACTGAGTTGAAAATTTGATGCATTCATTCACAATCAATTCAGGTGTTCCATTTGTTATATAAATAAATACGATTAATATTTGACTTAAACTTAACAGCCTGGGTAAGTATTCGACTGTCCTGCTGATTGCTGGTAAAATTAATCGTATTCGATCATTCACTGATGCTTCAATAGCTAATTTACATAGGTAAATATCGTCGAATAACACAGGTGAATCAATGTTTTCTTCATTCTTCATTGATGCATGAACAAGAAAAGTAATGGTGTTTCGTTCGCTCATTTTCTTTTATCCTAAATTTAATATAACAGGTTTATTCTATTATTGAGCATCATGCTGTAGAACAAGCAGTTGTATTTGATCAAACATAATCGAAACGATATACATTAGTTCACAATGAACGAATAGCGGCCGTTCTAAAAAAGTCTTACTAGAATTACTCAAACAAACCAATAAATGCTATCAAGAACATCAGCGTTATACACAAACCGAGTGAATAGTTGTACAGGATCTCACAATAATGATGTTATCAAATGACGTAACAAACAATAATTAACGGTGACTTTTCAAAACAGATTTATGTCTTTTCTGATACCACCCGTTCATTTTTTTAGTGTCACAAAGGGGGTGACACAATAAAAGACTCGGGTCTTCTATTCTGTCTGCAAGGATAAAGTTCTTGGAAGGGTCTTCTATTGTGTTCCACAAAGAAAGCTATTTTGTTAAACTCAGACATTTGTCATTTCATCACATGAATAACTTGCCCATGGTTATTACATGACTTTGCTAGCACCGAGCTTCGAACACAGTGCTTTTGAAGCACGTGACGAACAACATAACCATTAAGCCACACTGCCTTCCTTTAAAATGAGAATAGGAATGAATGAAATGGCATATAGGAATTAGGAGTAAGGTGCCGCTAATTCAAAAATCAAGTTGAAAAGCTTTTGAATTTTCAAACACATATTCTGATTCATCGAACGCTGCTGATCACAAATCCGACCTTATTTTTTCGATTTGATCGAGTTGTCATGCAGAAAACCTCAAAATGCTGTAACAGCGTCAAAAACCTAGAAAAATCCTGATCTTTTCATTTTTCGATCTCACCAATACGATTTTCGAATTCAGCATCGCGAAGCACATCTAGGCACTTGTCATTCGATGACTTTTCTTCAAGACTTAAACTCTTGTAGCTGATCAAAAACTGATCGCTCGAACCTTGAGATTCTCACTGCGCAATGCTATCTAGTTTTTTGCCGTGAGAGCTAGAGAGTTCTTTCATACGCCAGAAGATTCGCCTTGCCTTGCTCCACAAAAGTATGCTTCGTTTTTCTCAATACGGAAAGAAAGTGCGAATTTTTCGCAAAAAAGATGATGAGCCCATAACTCAGTGATATTTCCACTTAGAGCACTGCTATTGTGGTTTTCTAGGTAAAAAGCAATGCTGAGTACGTCAGAAATGCGTTTGAGAAGTTTGAAGTTTTCTGATAGGTTTTGCAAAAAACAGAACTCTAAGAAACCTTCAAGAGCCTTTTGAAAATCTTCGGAGCACATCGTATCGACAGAGCATCAAATTCTGAGCAAAATGAGACATCCTCGAGTCTTCTAGGGCATCTCTAGGCTGAGATAAGGCCATTTTACTTTCAGTGATCCAGCTGACTGGAAATCCTTTAAAAGATTTGCCAATAATTCAGCCTAGAAACTCACTGGAAAGCCCGGAAAGGTCTCATTTTGCTCAGAACTCGATGCGCATTCAGATGCAATGCCTCGCGAGGATAATGGGATTTCCAGATAGTCGGTTTTTCAATAAAGCTCGTTTTCAGCCTAGCATTCTTGAAGAGGCAAAACCTACTGGAAAACTCCAAACTTCTCGAACGCATTTCTAACGTATTCAGCATTGCTTTTTACCTAGAAAACCACAATAGCAGTGCTCTAAATGAAAATATCACTGAGTTATGGGCTCATCATCTTTTTTGCAAAAAACTCGCACTTTCTCAGTCTTTTCCTAATTTCGCCTGAAAGGAAAACTGTTTTGAAAAAAACGAAGCATACTTTTGTGGAGCAAGGCAAGGCGAATCTTCTTTGAAAACAAGGTTCCGACTCACAGAATGCATATTACTATAAATGAGAATGTAACAAATACTTAAAAGCACTGAAACAATAACACGTATATTTTAGTTGAAACTTGAACATTTGAAATATTTAATGTTCTCCTGCCAGTTAACAAAATATTAGTCTAGACTGCTTTATATCAGTCAGCCTTGAAAATGTTTTACCTGTTGACAACTGCAGTCAAACACACATCTATTACCTGACGATAAAATGTTTTTACTTTTAAAAGCATTACAGTACAAAAAAATGAATGCGAAAGAAAAAGCGAGGATAGAAAAGGCGGTAAAAACACACAACTTAGTTGGAATTTTCCAAGCATGATTGTGTGTGTGCATGTGCAAATGTTTCAAACCTGATTCTTCTTACGAGGGAAGTACACCTGTCATAGTTCTGTGGCACTAGCAAAACTAGACATCACATGGCAGTGCGGCATTGTTTCAGCAAATCCGAACGTTGGCTGGTATCGACTGATTGATAATGTGAAAAAAAGATTTTTTGTCGACGATTGTTCTCCCACGAAGGTACGACTCAGACCACTACAACATATCATCCGATTCTTTTTTCTGTATAAACTTCTAAAGGTGATTGACATACCAGATTTAACGGGGGCTCGACACATCTCAGGTTTTTTTTTTATGCTGTACAGTTTGATGTCCGCTTTCAAAAAACCCTATTTGTGTAGTCCGAAAAGCCGATAAAGGGGTCAAAAATTAATTACAAATTTACTTTCTCTATGCATTTTGCTGAGGAGAAAAGTAGTATTTTCAAAGTAATCTTGCTAACTCAATAGGATTAGACTTTTTTGGAAAAAGTTGTTCAGACAAAGTCTGTTGCAAATAGTCATGGTCTTGAGGCAACACCGAGCTTTTTAAAATTTTTTGTTTTACTTGCTAAATTTTAAAACAAAAATAATGATATTCTGTTCAGAATGTGGTTCAATTCCGATATACGAGCATCAACCTTAGTCACAAAGCAAACATATATCTCAGATTATGTGGGGAAGTAGAAAAGAATGACGTTTTACTAGAAAAGAAGAAAAAGGGGTTTTATCAAACAAACTATTAGTAGCTAGTCAGAATGAGAATAAACAGAAGGGCCCCCTTTAGTTTTTCGATGAATTCTTACTAGTACAGCAAGCAGAAGAGATCATCTATATAAAAGAGCATCTTATACGACATTCTTAATTAACTTATACAAAAGTTCTTTCATTACAAAGTTTTGTTCAACCTCAAACTGCCGTGCAGTCAATGTGTTTGTAAGTCGTTTTGTCCGAATCTAGTGAGTACAATACGTAAATTATGATGTGAAATCCAACATAATCATAATGATAGTTGTTATGTGACAGAAGCATTTCGAAACTGTACATGTGGACACCATTGGAGCTATCATTAGTGATTTAAACAGCAGACATCACTTTTTTTTATGGATTATTAAACAAGCATTTAAAATATTTGGAACAATTTTATGTTGTCTAACAAAAATATAACGTTCCTGGATTTCCAAGTCAGTAGTTTCGGTGTAGTTTCAAGATTGTAAAGGAACTTCTGTCATTAAGTTAAACTAATATTCTTGTGGTCTCTCACTAAAAAATAGCTGCCCCTTTCAGAGATCGTCACGAACCCGGAAAACTCCATGGAAGGGATCGGATCAGGTTGCAATTTGATGGTTCACATCATCCTCTCTACGTAACAAATATCTGAACAAATTAAAGGAAAATACAAAGAAACCCATGGATTTCGGGGTTCAATAAGCTTACATCTACTGATATATCACCGAAATCCAGCGCTATTAATATCTCCTATTTTTCCATACTAATTTCTACTAATACTACGGGTCGGCTCGTGGAATGTATTTAGTCCGACCCATATGGACCGCTCCAAAGAATTGATGCTTTCTCTACGGGTCGAACCGGGTCAAAATCCTGGAGCCCAGATACGGATCGGACCATAAAAAAGTAGCTCGCTACTATCTCTGGCCTCTATTGTGTTCGGTGCTCTGAAACGTCTAATTGTTTATTTTTACTTACAATACTTTGCTTTATAGTGTACTCTATTTGTATTTGTATATTTATTTTAGATAGAATTGTAGATACGATGAGATTGGTAGCCAACGAGAAAGTGACTGGTTATGATAAATTAATAATTTAAGATGAATACCAATACAACAGTGCAACAGATGATTCAAGAGCACTACTTCATACTCTAATTGGCTGGACAAATAGTGGATCATCTCATTCCCATACAAATCACCTGCTCTTCCAGTTGGCAAACCCAATAGTGGTCATCGTCTAGTAATGAATTGCAAAAGATTGAACGATATTACAGTAAAGGATGGATATGATTTACCCAATATGGAAGAAACTATCCAACAACTTGGCAGTGGAAAAAATCATTATTTTTTAAAACTTGATCCAAAATCAGGCTTCTGGCAATTTCCAATTGACAAAAATGATCGCCATAAGATGGCATTCAGTGCTTTCGGAAAATTATATCAATGAAATGTCCTTCCTCAGGACCTTAAGAATACTCCACTATCGTTTCAACGAATCATGTCAACAATTTTCGAACCATGTATTGGCTTTTCATTGGTTTACCTTGATGATATAATTATTTATTTCAAATCGTTCAGCGAACTTTATCAATATCTCCAAAACGTTCTGAATTTATTACAACAAAACAAGATCTCCAACTCAACACCATCAAATGTGAAATTACCAAGCAAGAAACTGATTATTTAGGTCACAGAATATTATCAGATGGCATACAACCATTGAATGAACAAGCGCAAGCAATCCTGAGACTGATAGAACCAAAATCTCTCAAACAAGCAAATGAATTTGTTGGAAGTTTGACGAAAATTTATCCCAGCGTTTGCCAGAGTTGCTGCACAAATTCACGCTGTAACTAATTTAACCGAAGTAAACAAACACAAGTTCAAATGAAAATATGAACAAAGTCATGCTTTCAAACAACTGAAGAAACTGTTGCTACAAGAGCCTTTATTTTTACATTTCCCAGACGATTCAAAGCCAGTAATCCTTACAACTGATTTTTCAATCAGTGGTATTTCTGGTGTTTTACAACAAGAAACTGAAGCACAAACAAAAAATGTATATTATCATAGTCAATTATTGAATCAACATTAAAAGACTTATGACATTGTGGCTGGTGACGCATTGGCTATTCTTCTAGCGTGCAAACAAATGAAGCAGTTTATGCAAGGACGTGATTTAATCATCAGAACAGATCATTGTCCGTTTTGTCACATGCACCGAAAGGAGCTCCGAAATAACATGACCAATAGAATATCAATCCTTCTTCAAGAATTTAACATCATCGAAATTCAACACATACGAGGAAAGCAGAATTGTTTGGCTGGTAATTTATCAAGAAACCCAATCAAACAACGGCACATTGATTTATTGGATTCAGAATATGGTATTGACACGAAACAATGGTCAGAAAACCAAAAGACGCCACAGTTTCAAGATAATTTCTCAATTCCAAGCAGTAATTCAAGTCATTCATTAAAAGGTAAACATGATTTTAGAGTTCCATCCAAGAACTACAATCGACAGTGTGATCAACCATCGGAAACTATGAATAAACCAATAGTATCAATCAACAGCTCTACATCAGAATCACAACATGCAATTGTTCCAGTTGTGACTCGTTCGTCAATACGAAAACAACAGCAGCTCACAACTGTCAATGAAGATGATTCTTCTTCAGTTTCAGAAGAATCAGACGATCCACCACCAACAATTCCATTTGTATGCAACAAATTTGATATTAAGCAATTACAAGAAGAACAACTGAAAGATCCAGTTATTCATAAGCAATTCCAAGAAATCGTAAAAGATCCACACAACAAATATTATATTATTCGTGGTGGCTTTTTGTTCAAGTTGTTACCAAGACGTCTTAAACAAAAAAAGCGACAATTAATTTATCTTCCATCTTCAGTGATTGAAACTTTGCTTCAAGCTTGTCATGCTGATCTAATTGGTGGCGGACACTTCTCCACTCAAGGAGAAATATTGGTGGCCTGATATGCATACAACAATTGAAAATTATATCTTTTTTTATATTATGGGTGACAGCAGTGGCTTTATCAAATTGTTCTGCTCAAACAACGGCAGAAACATTGTGGAAAAATGTTTAAAAGTTTATCATACAAGCGCCCGTCAAAGTATCATCCACAATCAAAAATTGGTAAAACAAAGATATGACAAAAACAGACCAGATCCACATTACACAATTGATAATCAAGTTTTTGTGAGAGCTGAAGACTCAAGATTGTTATGATCTGCCTTCCCCGGCAGCTCATAAGGTTCATTCTCTCTCCATTCTGCTCTTGTACCATTCTTGCGCAATTCTGTTATTGCGCAACTCTTGTTTCATTCTTTCGTTTTCGTTTCCTTCCG